TCCAGGGATCATGTCAGTTGGTGTCAGACCACTGGACTTCACGGAACTCTGTACCAACTACCCTCCTCCCCGATCCCACTACTCCTCCTCCTCCTCCTCTTCTTACGAAAGTGGAAGCGATGCCAGCTCATGCTGTGATGGTGTCATCCCACCCTACCAAGCAGCTGTCATCAGAGACTACACCGATGGTGAGGATGATGATTCCAGTGTCTTCTACACCAGGCGGTTCAGTTCCTCCTCAACCATTTCCTCTGATTTCCGAAACAGTTTGCTGTCAATCTCCAGCGTTTCAACAGCGATATCAGACGACGAATTATTTTGTGACAAAGAACCACTCTACGAAAACAGATCTGAGAAAAGCGACCATCACACATATCAGAACATTGATGATTTCCGAGGTAAAGACCCGACCTGTTCCTACGAGAACGTGAAACTTCGCCTTCAACCCACACCCTCCCACTACGAGAACATGGGTGCTCTAAGACTGTCCTTACTTCCCCGACCTCGACCTAGTTCCCTCTCAATAGACTACCAAACCCCTCGACCAGTCTCCACTACAGTGGGTACCACACCACGCCACACAGTTGAGGTAATCAGAGGACCAGTAGCTACCACCTCCTCTTACCGTGATCTCAGAACTAGCGTTACTCCGCAAGCATCCCGTAGAGTTGACCCGGACTACTCGGAGTGTTGGACCCCAGGGTTCGACCCGTGTGCCAGAAAAGAGTGTCCTCCTCCTTCGTACTACGAGTCTGTGGAGAATCTGAGGCATATGGAGGAGTCGTTGAGAGATGTTGACCATGGGCTTGCTAGATTAACAAGCTCTCACAGTTTCCAGGACTTGAGGCGATCCAACTCCCAACTTTTAGCCCGTCCAAAGAATATTATCCAGCGGTCAACTTCTCAGAATTTCCACCAGCTCCAAAGGCCTGGATCCCAGAGTCGGCCTGTTTTAAAACATTCCATGTCACAGAATTTCCAGCTTTCCAACCCTAGGTCAAAGGATATTTCGGAATCTCTACAACAACTCTCCAAACTTTTAGACGAAAAATTCATGTCAGAGAATCTGCCTGGTAGCGAGGAATCCTTATGCAGACTCCGTTACCCTAGTAACACAACCTCCAATCAAAACTCTGTTGTTGAATCACGTGACGTGTCCATAGCCAATGACAGTGCGGGGATCGAGTCTATTGGCAACGATAGTTCAATTTCTTCTCCTAGATGCTGTAAACCTTGGGAAGCGGAAACAGTCAGTCTTGATAGGTAAGATTGACGCACCATTCTGTTCAAAAATTAAATTTATTGATGGGAAACGTCTTTTTGTCCAATGTCCGTAGATTAACAATTGTTGTTCTTCACACGGCAAACTTCAGAGTTCTGGATTATTTTAAATGCAGATGACGCCAAGTGTATTCGACCGTAGAAAATCTGTTAAACATCTAAGATGAGATTTAGCTGCAAATGTAACGAATTCGCTGTAATCCCACCGATAATAATATGACGTCACAAGTTTAAGAAAATAATAACAATAACTGATACCTTGAAGTGCATAAGTCACTCATAAATGATCGCCACGATATTGTTAACATAATACACCAATAAATTTATTAAGTCTATTTTTATGCGTAGCTAACACCATAACACAATTTAAGTTGGCAGCTGGATGACCCTCAACTCGTGGCGTCTCCAGCTCCTATTGGCGGTCTGCCAACACGTGACCCGTACTACATCATGTGATTGGTTGATCTCTCTAATCAGCTAGAATTTACTAGCCTAACGAATCTAATCGTTAAGATTACAGAAGGCACAGCTGTTCTTGTGTAAGGGTACCTGGACTTCTTGTAGTTCTATCCCTTGCACATAAGTTCACTCTGCTGCTGTGTTTCTTACAATATCTTGTTCACGCTAGTTTTAGTACCTGACTTCTTCGTCCATGCTCTTCGAACGCTGTAAGTCTTACCTTTAAGCTTCATGAAGCTCCAGAGTTCATTATAGAAATTGCTACATGGAGTTGTCCGCAGTTCTCAATAATCAGTTCATCGAGCGCAGCATGTGGCCCGCTCAATCATGCACGACTTGAAGCTCATTAATTTACAACATTGAAATAAACTTACCATAAATCCAACAAATACTCATATCCCTGGCAACAAATCGTCGTAACCATGGTGACAGCGACGTATTGTCATGGTGATATGTCATATGTCACGTGACCTAATTAATCAGTATGGAAAGGCGGAGGAGGAGGCTCCAGGGAGTATATTGAGGTTGAGCGTGTGTGTGGAGTACATAGAGAGAGAGAGGTCTAATTCTCAGTCTGAGCTCTGTGTAGCTTGTGAGTTGAGCTCATTACTAGTGAGCAATCTCGCTCTCTCTCTCTCTCTCTCTGTTGTGTGTTCTCTCTAAACTCTATCTACTAGATAGATCGTATTGTTACCATTGTAGTGGTTAGTAAAGTGTCGTAATATGGACCCGGGGTTAGTGTTTTAAAATATGGGTTATTATTTGCATGCTCCTTAAATCCGTTGGAGACTTGCGTCAAATGATTTACTAATATCATTTCCAGGAACGGGGGTTTTAAAAACCGCAGCTTTTACCCATAATTTGTTGTTCTTATAACGACTTCATGGAAATAAGTAATGCTGAAGTCGTTAATGTGAGCTCTTGTTTGCGATGGAAATTTTGAGAGTTGACAAATCAAATCGCCTCACCGAGTTACCGACTACTCCATTGAGACAGCGGCAATATTTACCGATAACTCGATAAAGTCCAATGTTTAACCCCAAATAATAATTCATGAAATACCTTCTCTAAACTGGCTTCTTTTTCAGCGGTGTTCCGTTAACTTCGGAAGATAACGAGTGTAGAACCCCAGAGATAGTTGCACAGATGTACAACCAAACTGAGGTGCTGCGAGTCCTGGAAGAGGAGCGGAAGAGACTTCAGCTCATCGAGGTAAGAAACATTTTATTAGTTTTTATACATTACATAATCTTCACTTCACATAATTTTCACAGATGATGACCATGAAATTTGAAAACGCTTATTATAGATTTCCCGCCACAAGTGAGCAGAGTTACCAATAATCATGCACCACCTTGCTATTCACCTCACCTCAACTGACTACGTGCTCCATACTCCTCCGCCCTTCTTCTCCCTCCTTACTGCACTCCTTACTAAGCTGTAAATCCACTGTTTCTAGCCACAGTGGGTCCATATGATGACGTCATCATGATACAAAGACAGTACTTCAGGACACGTGACTGTTTTTCCGGTACCACGTGATCTGGAAGTTTTCACACCTCCCGTAGTGCTTGCGAGCAACTCCTTCATATTTTCTCAAGATTTTTTATGCAAAGCTTTGCAGAATTCAATTTCTAGCATTTTTCGTTGTTTTATGTGTTATTGTTGAATGTCTGATTGAACAGCTAAATCAAGCTCTTGTCGTTTACCGCTTGCTGAGAAATGTGGAGGTTTTTGAGACACCTGTTCTGGAGAGAAGATAAAGAAGAAGAAGAAGAGAGATTACTGATATGTAGCCGGTGTAGCTCAGTCCAGGTGACTACTATCTGATAATGAGGGTAACATGTGGTACTCATTAGTCATTATCACTCACTACAGTCTGCTGTTGTGAGGTCGTGCTTTGTAGCTGTCCTGCCAGCTGTGCATCGCCGCTCCACTATCAGTGACGTAAAGCTGTAGTTAAAGTTCCACATTTCATGATTTACATGATATCATTAGAGTGGTATATGTAAATTACAACATATGGTATATGATATGTCGTAACTAAAATGAGGTTGGCGTTCTTTCTTCTTTTTTTACGGATTGTGCAATAACTATTTGCCAAAGTTTACTCTTACCCTTCTTTACTTTATTTGGTTATTAACGACAAAATGCTGGAAGCTTAACAAATAGTAATAAAGGTGCCGGTAGAGAAGTTATTTACATAATTTGTTGTTTTAGACTGTATTCACAGTTGTGAGTTTACAATAGATCACAGTTGTCTACTTGCCAGTGATCTTAGTGCCCATGTTTCCTGTCGTATTATCTCACCTTTCATCAAAAACCACCATCCACAAATCCTCCCCGTATTTAACGCATTCCTGGCACTTGCAACTTGATTTGTTATTTGAGTCCTGCTGCTCTAACTTGCTTTAATGAAGGTCGACATATCCTGTAAAAGTAACTTTCCCTGCTCGTAAGATTTCATCCGGACATTCCTACTTCCCGCATTCCGAGGGCGGGAATGTATTGTTGTGTAAAGTAATGTTGGCAGATGTTTGCTCCCGCCCATGAAACTGCTGTGTGCCGCGAATCTCCAAAAGTCTCCCGATATTACAATATTTAGACCATTCTCGCGTTTTGCTTTCACTTGTTTACAATTTTAATTGTCTGTATAGATAGTCCTATGTACAACATAGTACTAACAATAGTGCTATATCAGGATGTCTGCTGTTGTGGGTCTCCCTTTGTTTTTGTAACACCGATATCTGTCTGTAAACACTGTTTAATGCATCAGTTTGGAGATAGGTTGTTCATAAGTCTCGAGTTGTAGTTGCTTTTGTTTGGGCTCCTTGGCCGTAAAGTGACATCATACCAAAAATACATTCTTTCAGCACTAACGAGATAAGAGACAAATCTCATTAGCAAGCCCGTGAGAAGAGCACAAAAAACATAGCTTGTTTGACCACCCAGTTTTTAACCAATTAGTGACATATTAGTGACCAAATTACCAAACAACTGCACTATGCACATTGTTATGCCTCCTCATTAAAACCTGACTATTTTGCAGAAATAATGCGCTAACATGCACCCTGGCTGGTAATTCTGGGACTGTCGTTGATATTGTAATGACTTAATGAAGTTTTGGCCCTGTGTTTTACATCACTTGCTCGTTTCAAATTAACCTGTTAGTACAGCTAGAAGCCCTACATCACCTGTTCGGAAGCCTTAGATCCCCAATTCTCGCTTACCTTTTTGAGAATATTTCTATCTCCGGCATGATAGCTGCTGCTAGTGACGAACTTGTTAATCGAGCCTGTTTTTGCGTGGTTGTTTTTCAATTTGTATGATTTTTGCTTACCCTAGAATACAACAGATGGCTAATCATCAAGAATCTACTATTAATGACGCAGAGGGCTATGTGATCGCTCTAAAGAAACGATATCTGGACTTCTACACATCTCACAGTTATTACTTGACTGAGGACTCTATACCACTACCTGAGTCTCAGCTCACACCACTACCCGAAGCTAGGGTTAAGTCTACTGCTTGTTCCAGTTCAGCAAGTGTAGAAGCTGGCTCCTGTAGAGACTCCAACCGATCCAATAGAGACTCTAACATTTCTGCTGGATCCAGTAGAAGGACGAGGAGGAAGAGCTATGAGTTAATGGTTGCATTAAATGGAGGAAGAAGCGAGCAGGGAACGTTAGATAAAAGACGCACACCTTGGTTGTCACCGGGTGAGGTGCGTGTAACTAAAGGTGTCATAACACCTTGTGGTGGTGCTGTGAGAGGGGAATCACCCGGTGTTGTGATAACCACACCACACCCTCCTGAGGTGCTACCAGATCCTGATAAACTGTTCCCGGACCCTGATAAACTGCTACCAGACTCTGATGACAGAGCGTCCCCAGTATCCTTCACCACCTCACCCCCACGACATCTTGATATCGTCTCTCCAGCTCCCAGTTCCGAGTCTAATAAAAGGGTGCCTCCCAAGACAGCTGTAAAGAGGCGTGGTCTCCCTGATATCACCCTCTGCCCCAGCCTAGAGACACCACTATCCAGTGATGGCAGTACTGTGAAGCTGTCAGATAGCACCCCGTGTGACTCAGTCTTCAACTCTCCTGAACCTGTTCAGAACACTGGTCGGTATCCAGTGTATGTGAACTGTAAAAGAAGCTATCTGAGTCCTAATTTGGGTTATTCTGCGCTGGATTATCTGAGATTACCTTCAAAACCCTTCCCTAAACGGGGCCCTGCTCCGTTCTCACAAGTCAAATACACTGAAGCAATGTCAGACTTTCCCAAGCTCATGGAACTCGATGAAAAGGCTGTGATCAGAAATTATAAAGGAAAAGAAAACTTAAGATCTGGTGCAAGATCGCGACCAGTTTCCGCTTATGAATTTTTCAAAAAGTCTCACATAGTGGAAAATGTTGGAAACTGTCAGAGGTCGAAGAGCACCGATTTTCCGAGGAAAAATCAGCTGAAACGGCCAATCAATCGCAAATCAAACGACATGTCAAACCACCATCAAATGAAACGGCAAATACCCTTGAAACCAAATAAATTTAAAAGGACCTGGGCCAGCTCCAGCGACTACAACACCATCCCTCCCAAAGATAGGAGTCTGACTCGCTCCAAAAGTTGCTGTTCGTCCAGAACAAGTAAAGTTAGTTCTGGTTCCGAAGGAGCGAGGAATTACAGAGGGAGAGAATCCAAACATAAAGTGTTTAGAATGGACAAGGACTGCCAGCTTCTCTTCCCCAATTTTACAGTGAGTCATTTGACAGATTTTAGCGTAGATTTGCTCTACTAGCCCGTTTATTGTTAGTCCGTTTATTATTGACAAATTGTAACTTATCAATATATTCCTTCTTTGAATTTGCCTAAATTATAAACCTGATGATTCAGTCTGCAGCGTACTATTTCATACTCCTGCAGCGTGCTGTACTCCTGCAGCGTGCAAACCTACGACCACAATCACCTAATGTCTTAACGACTTCCTCCCAACCTACAACCGCAGCCTCATACTCTTAATATAGCATATCACAGCCTTTTTTAAAACGATTAATCAGTATAATCTGGGGTGTTTCCTTACCCTCTACCGACCCTTCAAATGATATTCCTGATAAAACTTATCAGAGTTTCACCTGTGTTTGTGTGTAAACTGCTAGAAGCTTCCTGAAGTTTATACTGTGGATCTGTCACGTGACTTACTACGCTTGTAGATCTGTCTAGCTATTAATATAGTTGCGTAGTGTAGCCTATTATTATAGTTCTTCCTGTGTCTTATGAGTATCGGCAGTAACTTGTGGCTCTTGGATATTCTCCTAGCTGATTCCAAGGTGAGGTTATTGCTGGTCAGTTAGTTGGGAGTAATAAAGAGTGTTCCTATTAGCTGATTAATTGACGTGTTAGATACGTTGGTCCTTCTAGAGCTTTACATAGGTCAATTTATTGTGTGCTGTCAGAGTCAAAAAAAGTTTCTGACTCTTCAGAAACACAATAGGTATTGTCTAATTGTTTCAATCTTTGTAAGCTAATGCTTGTTATATGGTGATCTGTTTCCAATCAGTATCTATTTATCTCCGTGTTCATCATGACACCGAATACGAAGTACCACATGACTTTGTACAGATACCACAAGGTGCCTTGTCGCGCCAAGTATTTAGTTCAATCTACATTCTTAACATTACACTTGTCACTCAATCCAGTCCACTACATCGACATGCTCTGATAAGCACTTCCAGAGCCAAACCTTCCCTGATTGGTTAGGTGGGTCACGTGATTAGCCATTTATCCCACGTGTGATCATCACGTGATACCATAGCAACCACTGATTGGATCACGTGGAATATTCTCACGTGTTTTAACTATATTGGATTAGATTTCAGCTGCGTTGTCCCCCCAGGGTCATATAATACCCCTCAAGGAACCTCAATTTACCAGTTCCACCTTGCTTCATTTGACAGATATTTGGTTTCGTAAAACACACTAACTACTCGCATATCGTACTTTGTCTCTACTAGTTTAGTTTCTGTTGTTTGTTCCACCTTGTTTTACACACGATGGTAAAGAGAAGATGCTCCCTCCCCACCGCTCTACAGAAACCCCGTCTAGTACGGACAGTGGACGTGAACTCCACACTCCGTCTGGACGTCATCCTAGCTCCTAAACACACCCAGCTATCCACCAACACACCTACCCGTCCTACTTCCAGTCTCAACACCACCTATCCTACACGTAGGCACTCATGCTATCCTACACGTACTCAATCCTACAACAGGGCTCAACTCGGCAAATCATCCCACAATCCTGAGAGAACCCTATCATCTTGCCTCAGACAGGTTGGGAGCTATTTTACCTGTAATTTTATCGAAGTAATCTGCTGTTCCGCCGTAGTTCCCGACAGCTAATATTAGAGCGCTTTTAGTTTCTCGATAGGAATATCTCCTAATATGGTAGCGTGGCAATGAACCCACGAAATCAGCTGTTTGCATATTGAGTGGTTGCATGACACAGCAGGCTGCTTGGTTGAGGGGCTTTAATATGAACCATTACGTTATTCTTCTTACTCCGGGGGTTGAGGGTGTTAGTTCTGGGTAAACAAGACCACATTGTTTGTTTGTCTTGCTTGTGTAAGGTTAGGTGAGAAAACAAGTCTTGTTATTCAACCATTGTTAAGTGTTAACATGAAAACTATTTCCTTCGATAGTTAGGTGCTAAATTTAGCAAAACCATTACTTTTGATACTAACTGTTGCTTTACATAATATAGTATAATCGTACAATAGATTTATTCCGATTGCCGCATAATACTATGAGCTGCCATTTGCCAATTTGTGCTTTTAATCAATGATCGGGTGTCGAAAATAGGCCGGCCAGCCTATCAACTTTCTCTGATAATACTTGCTCAAATGAGCCCGGAAAATTCCCAATTAGGACCGTTTAAAATGCGCTCTACTCATATCTTGTGATCTCCGCCTACATTTTATAGTGCAATTTGTAAGCAACGTCTTTGCGTTTGCTTTCTAAATACCTCTAGTTTTATCCATGATATGTAAGATTACTTTGGCATGTATTTCGTGTTTGTGATAGCCATACAGTTCTTGTGATAAATTTATTGGGGCACATGCAACCAATTAAGACTTTCGTTTACTTCACTGATGTGATTTTAATTCCGATTAATGTGAGACTATTTTGAAGCTTATAATACTTGATGACGATGTGTAGAATGACAAAAATTGACGGACATCATATGTGACAACAGACGTCACAAACGAACTGACTTACTCGGAGGATGTGACCGATATGACTGCTTTAACAAACGAATGAGCAAATATGAATATTGAATACCGGTCCATTTCCACCTCTCAAGGTCGACACAAGGCTTTTGGAACCTCTTATTTTGATCATCGTAGGCGATCTTACATTTGCGCTGTGGACCGATCTAAAACTTACGAACCGTCCGACATACACATTCGATCCAGCACTTTCCATAACCACAGACGATTTAATACCCAGACCAACATTTACAAACGACCGAATATTCTCGAACAAACAGCCAAGCTCAGAGCGAACTCGTCCGCAATGATTACTGTGACATCTCACAGCAACAAAGTTAGGGTAGTGAGTCTAAACTTTCGTCTTACTTCCGGTTGTCATCCCGTCCTCCTCTCCCAGTTTATCATGGAGTTCCAGGAGTCTGGTTGGAGTAAATCACGGGCAACACAACACAGCACGGTAGGTTCAAATTAGGTGCTAGTGGAAACTATGAACCGCGTTCTATTCTGTGAACCGCGGGCAAATCCTGGCTGATGATTTAATGACTGTTGGGTGGCAACTCATGTTGTTGTGTGGCCTGTGCTTGTTGATTTGTTTAATACTGGTCACTGGTTTTGTTACAGTAATTGTTTGTTTGTTTGTTGTTGGAGGGGTTTCTTGAGAGGTTGAAGTAGCGAGGCCCTGAGTAGTAGACCCTAGCTTGCGAGGCCCTAATTTTCCTAATTGGGAGTTGGGAGGGCTCTAAAATTACTAAATTTGGCAGGAACTAATCTACAAATAATACTGGTTATATACCTGTGACTTGCTTAACACTGTTAGGTGCTGAGAAACAGTAATTATTACTTTGGTCTGTGAGAAGTCTACAAATAAATTATCAACACGGAAGAGAGCAGCCATGGGAACAGTGTTGTCTTGAACAATGTGGCCCAGTTTAGCCTTTATTCCAATTGTCACGTTGCTTCCAGTTAAAAACATCTGCACGCATACTTTAGACTGGTTATACAGTATACAATGTTCATGTTTACTGGCATTAAATATAAAAGTAAAGGCTGGACGGCAGAGTAAGTCAACTGTCTCCGGTCCTGCGAAATAGTAATTGCTTCTTCCCGCCAAACCCTCCCTCCCTCCTTCCTTCTGGCTTGTCTAACAGCCAATAAAAAACCAGCATTTCTCCCACGGTACATGACACGTGACATGTCACGCGCCTCCACGTGTTACACATCACCCTGGAAACAGAGCCAATGCCTACTTACCTCCCTGGCCCCCTTTCACCGCGGTATCTTTGAGGTGGCCTGTGTACCGGGTATAACCTAATTGAACAAGTTTAGTTGTTATCCTGGTTTTGTTAGAGCTGAGTTTATCGGTCACCCTTGTCTAATATAGTTTTCACAGCAAGTTGTCATGGTGATTTATAGCGACGAATCTGATTACGAATCGACTTGGAGGAGGGTGGATGCCATGTTTGATTTCCAGGAGGAGAAGAGTGAACCACCCTCTTTAGCCCTGTGGGAAAGGGAGAATCTGTGGGGTAGCTGCAACACCATCCAGAGGAACTACAGGACAAGCACGATCGAGTGTCGAGACACTGGAGACGAGTGTCGTAGTGTTGAAAGCAAGTGTCCTGATGATGGGAGCGAGTGTCCCGAGTTCCGGGTTCCTATCGAGTGCCAGCAGGATTATGATCAACTGGTTGCCTCAATTGTTCAAGATGTTGAAGATAATAAGATTCATCTGGGTCCGATGTCTACTGATTTTGTTGTGGCTCCCACTAAAATCTTGTATCCAAAGGTCCGTTGGACGTGGTGTTTTTATCCTGCTGTTTAGTTCTCACTCTAAACATTTGATTTGAAAATATCCTGACAATCCAATAATCTCTCAATATTTCCTCCCTCCCCCATTTCTTCTTACTCTCACATTAAATTAAACCTGCGAAGTCCGTTCTAGAGTAAGACTACTTAACACTGCTCACGAGTCCGTCACGTAATGACACTAATCTCAAATCACATTTTAAAACATTTGAAGCGCAGATTCACATATCAAATTTATATTTAAATCTCGACCGGATATTCTCCAAAATCACACACTGTCCCTTCTGGATTTACTAACTCCTTGTTTTCCACAGGACTTTAGCCCGTACGTTGGATCCCTGACAGTTCGCCGGGATAAGCGCCGCCGCCCCGATATCAGGAAAGAGACAGGGCTGTTCTCGCCCCGCCGAGCTGAGAACTCCTCCCTGCTGTCCCCTAAACGGGACCCTAACTTATCCTCCTCCGCAAACAGCCTTGAGTCGCACCCTCTAAAGAGAAGCAATACGATATGTACTAGTGGGGACGTGCAAGCGTATCTTAGAAGCAAAGTAAGTTGTTTAATTAACTTTAGGAGCAAAGTAATATATTGTCAAACATAACAAGCTCAACTATTCCTGATTCCTGATAATATATTACAAATTGCCAAATCCCTTTTAACACAACCTAACCCCCAGTGTAACCGAGAGTTTGCTGCATCACGTGACGGTTCCGACTCCATGTCCTTCAAACGACACAGTAAGAGTACTTTTGACAGCGGGTTCGAGTCCGGACTCAGCGATATACTCGATGAGATACTGGGAGGTGGCCAGTATGATCCGGTCCTGGAGGAATCAATGGTGGGTTTTATTTCGGTGGTAGATGCTTTCCCATGTTTCCCAGATCAACTAATGCATGATAAACTGCCATTGAAAGATTGTCGAGATTAAATTGAAATTTTTCATTAATAATAATCTTCTTCAGCCTAAGACGAAGTGGCAGTCTTTCAAAGGGAAGCTAACGGAGGCTTTCCACAAATCTAAACGGAACGAATTGAACGTAAGTTATTTTCATCCTTTACTCCCTAGAATTGCTTTATGTAGTTTATGTCTTGATAAATTCAGAATTATCATCAATCAATCTTACCCTTAGAGGGTAAATTGCCCGACTTTCAGTTTTAATAATTGAAACTAACTTAATAATTTCTCCAGGACGCCATGTCTGACAACTCGGATATCAAGTCTACGAAGTGGGACAAAGTCTCACAGTTCGTCAAAGTGAAGATCGCCAAGGTTTCAAACCAGGACCTTGACATGGGAGGATTTGAAGATAATCAATGGAGATCCCTAGAACCACGACAATTTCATCGAGGAACTCGCAGAACCCAATCTTTCGTTAAGTGGAACAGGGCTAGGGAACGATAAGCAAAGTAGGATTCATTTCTCGGGAGGGATGACCTTGTTTTGTGGAAACTTGTTTAGAATGGTTATGAAGAGACTGATTTACTGATTAACCTGTTGTTTTATTTAAAACTGTTTTAATGTTTGGAAGGGGTCTTTGCTCGGAAATTTATCGACCTTTAGAGACAACGTAATTATTTCTTTCGTGAACTCCATTTATCGCATTTCTGATTTGAATTTTTACGGATGTACATGTTTTTCTTTTAATTTTATAAAAGATATTTAACTTAAAGTTTATGTTTTTACGGGCTGAGATGACATTTTTGAAGTTTGCTGTTGCAATCTCATTTGACGTTGAGTGCGACTTGCAGGTTTCATTTTCTGATTTGTTGCCAAATATCTTGTTCTGAGTTAACGAGTATTTGACATAATTAAGTTGCTTAAGTTAATATATTTGTACAGACATTTTCAAAAACATTATGCATGCAGTAAAATTGATACTTGCTTCCAAAAGCTCTGTATTTATATAATTCTGCGTTTTGATCAAAAGCGTTTATTATTTCTCAATCCTGCTGGTAAATCAATACAGATGCACTGTACAATTTACATTATACCTCAGACCAAATCATGAACTGCATGCATGAATAATCTATCTTGCCGGGCCTTATTTGAACAAACATTAATTGGACGCTGGAGGGCGGAGGCCCTAGCGCTAGCGTTCATTTTAGTGTCCGTAGCAAAATCCGTTGAAATGTTTTCACATAAATATTGATATTATCTTCTACGAACTTATTGTCCTGGATGATATGAATCTTTTTAATTTCGTTCTATTTAAATTCCCATCATCGGAATAGAATTAATACAAGATTAAAATAAGTTAACGGGTGATACTCGTAAAATATCTGTTCCATATACAGGACCGTCGACGAGTCCAACTCGGCGCGCGTCCTAGTAGGTTGTAAACCTACAAAAAGTAAGATGAGCCACACACATACTATAAGCATCACAGTCAAACAATTGTGGTGATTAAAATTGGACTACTCTATAAGCTGTGTAGATTCATACACGTTGATTTTGCTTTTTACGGGGACTTATGGTCTATTATGTCTATATTGTTATGTACCAAAACATAACTGCTAACACCCAAAACTTATATTATTAGTGTAACCCGGCACTTTGCCAAAAAAAACCAGTCCCGCAACTCTTACCGTTTTCTTGATTGAGAAAACACACATTCTGGGATAATTGATAATTAATAAAAGGTGATATTAGACCGTCAATAAGTCAAATTAACTTGGCGCGCGTTTTAGCTTAGCAGGTTGTAAACCTACACGTCTATAGTTAGAATAATGAATAAAACAAAATATTAAAAATTAGTTGGTACATGTTACGTATCCCAAATATCGGCGCGCGAAAAGTGGCATGCAACGTATGTCAAAAAATTAGTAGAAAAGTAGACTAAAAAATTAGCTAACCTTTCATTCGCGGCGCGCATATTTTTAATAGCGCGCCGCGCATAGTTTGTATTTTAACCGATCCATACGGTACTGTCAACTGTGAAAATCGAGCGCTACATTATGTACACAGTCGGCCAACCGGTCGTATTACTATTAGCGCTTGTTTTCTATACCTTGAGATTTTCAGATCCACTACCCCACATGATTTGTATTTGTTTTGAAACTGTCGCAGTTCCAAATTATGGCAACAGTTATTATGATAACGGAACTTCGGTTTTCAGCATAAAACATTGTTTTTCAGAAAGACTTGGTTTAAAGTTGTAGGTACCTAGCAAGTTTTAAAATTTCTGGAGATGGGGTACACGGGATATTGCAACCCCTTATCGCCTCCCTCCTACTTTTGGAGAAAATTCAACACAAACTGATGTTGTATAAGATTAGCATTCTTTATTTCTTTTAAAGCTGATTTTAATACTTTCAACACTACTATATAACAAATAATTTGAGGGATGGCTAACAATGGCGGGCAAACGGGGCACATCGATAGTGACCCAGCCAGTACAGAAACTAACGAGAGAAAGAAGATATGCTTCTATTGTCAGAAGTATGATGAACCACTTGCGAGAAAGAAGATTGTTTGGCTAGGTTGTTCAACATGTGAGAATTGGTGGCATAGTAGTTGTGCCGGTTTGGCTGGTCTAACCAATTAAACAAATAATCAATTAAACAAATAATCAAAGTTTTAGCACATTTTACAGCATAAAATTTAAACAAATGAAAACATATAATGCTCTTAGTGGTAAATGGCCGTTTGTTCTGAGCTGTATGATTTTTTGACAATCAACTAGCGGGGCAAGGAATGTACTGGCTGGTAGCTTTTATACACACCAAAACGCTAGTCTGGTTGATTAATGACCAAATTAGAGGCGTTGATAGGAAGGCATTATAATTTGTGGGTGTAAGAGGGAATATTTGGCATGCATTATTCTAGCAGCTATTTTGTAACAAATGGTCTTTACGATTATTAAGGACGGTAGGTATTTTGGGTGTTCAATGGGGGCCGGGGGTTTAAATTTAAGGGAGAAAAAGAAATGAATATTGGGTTATAATATTAATCATAGATGTCAGCCCTGATATAACTATTGTACTAAAAATTTGATCATAATGCTTAGGGTCTTTATTAGAATTCAAATTGGATATAAAAATAGGATCTCTTTACACTACACTTACTCACTCACACATCACATTTAACTTGACAGAGGAATACGCTGGCAGAGTATGTCGATTTGGTCATGAAATTTTGGAGGTCAGGTGGAATCCCTGCAGGAGCCTACGAAAATTTAAGGTTACAAATATCAAAGTCTTTATTTGTCCAGTCATACACGGCATGACAATGCTGGTTGGAAAGTAGTGAAGATTTCAGTTTGGATTTCAGGCAAGAAATACTAACAGAACAATCAAAGATTTTAAGGTTAGGGGTTATTATATTCCATATTTTCGTTGACCTCGTGTTATGGTTGTCTGGGGGATCCGGTTTATTGATAATAAGCATTGGTTTCCTGGAAGAACGAGAATACTCTTCGTACATAGACATAGGAGTAGAAAACTTCATGATCTTGAATAATTCTATGTAGCTATGGTAAGTATAAAGATTTTGTACAGTGAGTATCTCGTTGTTTTTAAACAGAGGTTTAGTGTGCTCCTTTTTATAGAATTTACTATCAAGTTTCTGGTCAGTAAATGGTCTGGTTCGAACACACGTTTTGAATTTATCCAGGTAGGCTGCTCTATCACCAAACAAGACCCTCAGACAGTACTTCTGTGCAGTGAATATTGAGCTTATACGATTTTTAGCTGCCCCACCCCATGCTGATATGCAGTACGACAGATGGGATTCAAAAAGAGTGTAGTATAACTGTCTGTGGAGAAATTCTGGGAGGGAGCAGCGTAGACGACACAGAGTTGAGGTGGCATGGTTAAGCTTTCGTTTTAGGGCTATTATATGTTCTTCCCATGTTAGATTTTCGTCAATGACGACTCCTAAAAATCTAGCTGACGTTACTCTTTTGATGGGGTAGTTGTCTATATTCATTATGAATTCTTCTTCAACGTTTGCTTCAGTACGTGACTTAGGTCTAAAGTGAATGTAGCAGCATTTTGACATGTTTATGTGAAGCTTGTTAGCCCGCATGTATGTTTGAAGGTTTGAAAGTAGGGCGTTGCTGCGTTCATATGCTTCTTGTGCAGTTTTACCAACAACAAATATGTTGGTGTCATCCGCAAAGGTGACAAACGATCCCAAGCTAGAGCTATTAGAGATGTCATTTATGTAAAGTAGGAATAGAAGGGGTCCGAGAATTGACCCCTGGGGAACCCCAAATTTTATTGGAAGTAGGTCGGACTTTTCTCCTACAACATCAGTGTACTGAAATCGATTAGTTAGGTAGCTCTTGATCAGATCGTTTGCCACGCCACGGATGCCATACCTTTCTAGTTTGGTAAGTAATGTTGAGTGATCTATAGTATCGAAAGCTTTGCTGAGGTCGATGAATATGCCTAACACGTTACAGGTCGATGAATATGCCCAACACGTTACAGATGTCAAGAAGCTGACAGTGTGGAACTGCCACTTTTGTTTCGTTTTGCCTGAGAAACTCAAATTTGAAAAACTTACTGATGACGTTGCTAAAGAACTGACAAGTGTTATACAGACTGCTGTCAGCGCCAGTGTGGAACAATCTATCCAGAAGGTTCTTGTAAATGATGTTGTTTCAGAAGCCAATAAGAAGATACACAAGAGTTGGGCTGAGAAGAAATTGATAGCTGAAGTGTGTCAGCACGCAGCAGGCCCTGCAATAACCACCATCTCACAACAGATTGATGCTAACATGCAGGAAAGGAAAAAGCGGGAGAATAACATTGTTCTGTCAAACTTACCTGATGAAGATAAGGAAAATGAGAGTCAGGAACAACTAAAGGCTATCATCTGTCGACATGCAACAGATCTTAACCAGAGTGACATTGTATCAGCAAAGAGAATAGGTGTATTCGGCAACGTCAACCGTACAAAGTACAGGGGAAGAATGGTCATTGCGAAGCTAAAGAGTGAAGAGTTAGCTACTTACACACACAACCATGGACGCGGGTTTGCTTATCATGGAAAAAAGAAAAGTGATGATGTATGGATAAATCCTGACTTGATCAAGGCGGATCGAGATATCCGGTGGAACACACGCAATGCTAAACTGGAAACTGATAAGAGGACCAAAGTAACTGCTGACAAACCACCCAAAGAGGAACTGCCAACTGATGTGGCTTCTGTAACAAATGTAGAGCATGCGGATAATAAAGAAGATGTTGTCCAGAATGCTGTGAAGTCAAAAAACGAGTAGCGAGTTGCGTAAAGGAATCACAGGGTATCAGGATGCTGTACACTAATGCTAATTCCCTGTACAATAAGATGACGGAACTCATGGTTTTGTCAGAGACTCACGACGTTCAGATCATTTGTGTGACAGAGTCCTGGCTAAATTCAGATATTGTTGACGCTGAAGTGTCTATTCCTAATTTCAACCTCTTTCGTGCAGACAGACCTAATGATACACGTTTTGGGGGATCTGCTATCTTTGTCCACAAAGCACTGAGGGTAGAACGATTGGATTGGTTCACTGGTCTTGAATCACTTGCGGTAAATATTGTAATCGACTCTGTTAGGTTCAATGTTGTTTGTCTGTATCGGTCTACTTCACTTGTTGATATGAAGGACAATGCTGGCCTGTTAGGTGCTCTTGAACGTTTACCAGTTAATGCGGATGAAGAGTTGGTGATAGTTGGCGATGTGAACCTACCTCATGTTAACTGGGACAAAAGTTTAGTCGAGCGCCCACCAAACTCATGTGACAGAAGGTTGCTGATGGAATCAGAATTCTTGAATGTCTTTACCAGGAAAGGTTTGAAGTGGTATGTCACTGGGTCTTTGACACGTGTCAGGAAGGTTGGTGATACAACTCAATGCTCCTTGCTTGATCAGGTCTTCTGCAATAATGATTGTTTTGTAAATAATGTTGATATCCTTGCTCCTCTGGGTAAAAG